TCACGCGCCGGATGTAGAGCTCTACAGCTCTACAGCGCTCCGAGAGCGCTCTACATCTCTACATCTCTACAGCGCTCTACACTCTACATCCTCTACACCCTCCCTCAGCTCGGCAGCTTGTCAGCCCTCAGCCGAAGCTGGGGCCGGTCCCGTAGCCGAGAGAGCCCGCGCCGATGAGTTCGACGCGGTCATCGCGTATGGGCCCCATGAACCATTTGATTCGGTTGCCCATCCCCCCCCATGGCACGGTCAGCGACGCGGCTTGCTTCACTTTCCGCAACCACCAATCCCGATCGGAAGTGTAGCCGTATTGCACCTTAAGTTCTTCGAGCTCTGCCGCGCTATCTCGGGCGATCTCGGAGCCGCGCTGCGCTATCTCGGGCGATCTCGGAGCGCGCGCACACACACGCACACACACGGCCGCCGCGCGAGCGTCGCGCAGCGGCACACCTGCTCAAAAAAGGAAGGGCCTGGTTGGAATCACGGGGCTCGCGTACTCGCTCGGCGCGCCGCATGAAACCGCCGAATTTTTGTTAGGGGGCGAACGGAGCGACGCAAATCAAGCATGGACCGAGAGGCTCCAACTAGCCGGGGTTGGGGAATATTGCGGGCATCTGCCTCCAGGGGGGGGCTCGCTACATCTCTTTCGCGCGCGTTGTTCGAGGAACTTGCGGCGAACCCCCACAGCACAGATGCCGCTGCTGCGCGACGCACCATTGCCACGGATGCCGCTGCTGCACGATGTACCAGTGCCGATACAAGCTTGCTGAGGGATATCCCCACCAGCAGCGGCCTACACCAGCGCAGAGCCTTAGAACGCAAGCCTCTGGAGCGGCCAGCTCCCCAACGCAAAGAGCATGAACCATCGCTGCCCAGCATCGCGCGCCACCGCAGGCTCTTCGGCATCTTCGGGAGGCGATCCGCCTCCGATGGGGCACAGGTTCGAAGCAGCAGTCTGCACACGTGGGCAGTGACAGTCGCGACCGACCCGGGACGCTCCTTTATTCATCGCTTGGGCGTGGTAATGGTTTCCAACGGACTTGTGGCGCTTCAGCTGGCTGTGCTGGTGATCCTCAGTATCGAGAGTTCTCACCCTACATGACATGTACATGTGCGAAACACTCCATGTGCATGACCGGCACATTTTGCGACGGAACCTTCCCAGACTGGGACTTGCCGCGCTGCACCGACTGCATCATGTTGCAGGAGGTCTATCCGCGCGTCACTTCCAAGGGCCTCGGTAGCGAGCCAGAGCAAAGATTGACTGCGGGCGAGACGCTTGCGAATCGAACGGATGAGTGTGAAAGGGTGTTTCGGCGGGAGATGCCATCCCTCGATGCGGACTCGTATGTATCCAAACGCGCGAACACGCTGCACTACGACAACGATCCCGACCTACGATACCACGTCACAAAGCAAGATTTCCCGACTGTGCGCGAGCAAGATTTGATCTTCTGCATGGCGACGCGGCACTGCGCTGTGACCGACGCTAAGGTCTCCGGGTGCGACTACGTCGACGCTAGTATCCACGCCCTCCAGGTCAGAGGTTGCGACCTCCTTGAACGCTTGAGGACACGCGGGCCGGACGGGTCATTGACCCGTTATAGGACGGAGGTCTCATCCTCATCTTTGTGTGCATGTCGCTGCTCTTCTCGGTCGTCCTCGCTGTGCAAGAGCAAGCGGCGAGGACATCCGAGCGATCACACTTTGATGTCCGAGATCAGGTGCCCATGTACGAGGACATGGCCGAATCAGTAAACGAGGAGGTGCCTCTAGCCCACCAAAAACGAGAGGCACTCCCTAGCGTCGTCTCTCAAGGCGGAGCTTCCTGTAGGCACTTCTCACTCACCGCCTCTCGCAGCGCGACCAGCACCACTGGTCAACGCGTCTCGTCGCCCGCAGCCTGCGCCTCGGCCTCAAAATCCGCCAGCTCGTTCTACCGTGGGCCACCCCCGCCGCCGCCGCGGGAGTCCTCCTAACGGGCCAGTTGAGCGCGACGGACATCGTCCTCAACCTGCTGGCGGTGGCCTTCATCTTTGAGGTGGAACGAATAGCACCGAGCAGCTGCAGTAGCCGCATCGACAAACCCAGCACGCCTGAGTGCTGCGGCCTATCATTAGGCGGACAACATGCTCGGTGTCCTGATCATTCCGAGGAGTGAGCTGCAGCGCTCCCAGGCTTTGCTAGAGGCGGTACTTGCTACCTCACGCCGAGGGACGGGGGCAGAGCGGTGCGTCGCGCTGCTCTCGGCGGCCTTCTTGGTGCGCTCGCCGAAGTCCGATCGCCACGAAGAGCGTCTTCACACGTTTGTGCATGTAGCAGGTTTGGATGACTACGCGCATCCGGTGGATTATGAGCCTGTTCTCGGGCGTGTATATGCACACGATCCTCGATCAGGCGACGGGCCGCTTGGACGGCGGAATCAGCGGACTTGTGCGGATATTGCCGTTCAAGATCGCGGAATTGGAGACTGGGAATGCAAACATCGATGCGGGCTCGAATGATCCGCTTGGCTTTCACGAACAAGGTAAATCGTACCCATGCGATACGCTGCAGATCGCGCTGGTCTACTTTCCGGCCTGCCCGGTTGGTGTGTGGATCGTCATCCACGGCCTCCTGGAGTTTGCCAGGTCTGCCCTCGATGACGAAGCCGGCAAGTCTTGCCGATGTCGACGCGGGCCGCTGCACGCCTTGCTGGCCGACCTCGTCCTCAGCCTTGTGGCCATGCTCAACAGTGAGGCGATCTCTTCTAGCACGCTCACCTATGCTTTGGGAGGGGGGTGGAACGCAGGCCACTGGCTCTTTGCGGCATGTGTAGGCAGCACGGCCTCGATTGTTGCTCCTGAGGTGTTGGCTCACACGACTCGCAGAGGCCAGAGCGCTGAGGGTGGGGCGGTGGGCGAGGGCCGGCGAGGCACCGGGTTCGCGTTCGGCCTCGACCCTGGCAATCTCGACACGGCATTCAGCGCCATATTGTAAACGCGCAAACTAATACAATTTTAAAAAGAATTTGCATCATCGTGCACCGCCGACGAGGGGCGACCTGAATCTTCCCTGGCCTCTCTCGTAGATCACGTCTCACGCGCGTTTGCCTTTGGCGGCGGCGCCGTTGCCCCTCGAGAGGAGAAATGCGGCCACGTACAGGACGGCCTGGCCGCCGACGAGGAGGAGGAAGGGCTTGAGCTTGCCCTGCGAGAGCGGGTCGTATTCCGGCGCCGCGGGCAGGAAAGGAAAAAGCACGCCTGCGTTCTGCGAGTTGACCACCTATCGGAGAGGAGGGCTGTGCTGTTCCGCGTCTCTGGACCGTGTCTAGGGTGAGCCTGCCACCCGCGGTTGGGAGAGGCGAGCGGCGCCTGCACGGTGCATGCCCACGTCGCGTGCATGAGGTGGACTACCGCCACCTATTCGTGGCGGGGTGGAACGGTGGGTCGGCATCGGGAGTGTCTGCTCCTGCGGAGAGACGGACGGAAGCGCCTCGTCGGTCCCCTTTCTCAGAAAGAGAAGGGCGTAGACGGAGCCAACACCCATCCCGAGGAACTGGCAGCACTCGCCGCGCATCGAGGTGAAGGCGAGTGTCAGCCAGTCCTTCTCGGCCTGGCCGGCGCCCCGCACAGAGGCGCCGATGGCGCGGCACTCGTCAGCGGAGATGCCGAAAAACGAAAACGCGTAGCAGGAATCGACTAGGCCGCCAGCAGATTGGACGAGGCCGAGGTGGACTACGGCGGAGACGACGAAGGCGAGCGCGGAGACTGCTCGCGCGAGCTTGGACATCGGCTTCCGAAAAAATGCTTCCGAAAAAGAATCCGGGCTTCGAGCCTAGGGGGGGAGCTGATCCCACTCAATAACCAACTCTCAGGGGCAGTAGGTGGGCGAGCTTCAGGCACGCTCATCTCGATCGTCAAGACGTTGCTACGCGCGGTCTTCCGCGGGGGGAGCTGCGTCGACGGGTGCGGGACCGCGGCGCAGCCAGTGCCGCGGCGAGGCCTCCGGCTGTTTGCGGCGGGCGGCTTGCTGCTCGCTGCGATGGCGAAAAACTCGTCTCGCCACACGCCAAGGGCTTATGCTCTGGCGAGACGTGAGGCGCATGCGCCCAGGAGGGGAGGGGGCATGTGTAACGACACTGCTAGAGATGCCTTTCGGGGCCCAGAGATAAAACTTCTGTGATGCCATGCGTGACCTAGTAGTGTCCCCAGCTATGGGCGTGTCCACGTTGGAGCCAGGTGTGGTGTGGGCGCGAGAATAGCTCCGCCGTTCATGGAGGCAACCGATGCGAGTCGACTGGTGTGTGTCGTCGTGGTTTCGTATCAAGAATTCTCTCTCAGCAAGGGCAAGGATGGAGAGGGTGAAATTCGGCTCGGCTGGAAGGGGGCATATGTACGTTTCGGCAACACGGAGACCGGGCTGCTCAAGTTGGTCAAAGGGCGCGGCAAGTGGTCTCCGTCGGGAGCGACGGCAGCGGCGGTGGCGGGGGAGGAGGAGGAGGCCGAGGAGGAGGGGGAGGAGGGGGAGGAGGAGGATGCCCCCAAGGGAAAGCTCAAGGAGCTGGATGGCGATTGCCGTTTTGCGCGGGAGCAGGATTGCGATCTACGTTTGTTTGATTTTGAGGCTTTCGGAGGCTTTGGAAAGGAGGTCCGCAGCACCCTGAGGGAGGCGGCGAACCAGCTGAGCAACAAACTTTCGCACGCTCAGCACCTCGATGAGGTCACATGGACCACCAAGAACTGGCACGGGCTGCAGATGCAGCGCGTGTCTGTCGTCCTCCACACCGCCGGGGCGTGGCAGACGGTGAACGAGCTAGCGTGCGGGGAGAGCGGCATTGTGCACGGTGCGGATCATTGCCGTTCTTAACGGAGTCGCTTAGGCGGCTCCGGCGGTGAGCCGGTGAGTGTGCCAGTCCGCGCCAGTCCGCGCCCTTGTCGTGCCAGTGTGCTGAGAGGGGCTGCTGCGAAGAATTCTTTTTTTGAGCGCTGCGTTGGGCGCTCCTGCGACCCGGGTCGGCGATGCTGCCACCTCCCCGCTTCCGCTCCTCCACCGTCTCGGTCGTCAAGCGCCGCCGAAGTCGCCTCTGCCGCATCCTCGCGGTCGCCGTGCCGACCTGCGTCATCATCGCGCTGCAGATCCACGCGGCCGGCCACTTCGAGGAGAGCATCGAGCTCGAGGCGTCGGCACACGGCCGCCGGATGGCAGCAGAGGCCTCGCGCCATGTAAACCACACGTCGCCACCCGCGCCACGAGCCTCTGCCGCCAACGGCAGTGCGCAGTGCAGCCGTCACCGGCGGCCGTATCACGTCCTCGTGCCGTGCAGTCTCAGCGTGGAGCACCAGTGGCAGGCGCGGCTGTCGTACCACCGCTACCTGCGGCTCAAAGAGTCGGACCCGTGCAGCGACCTCGGCGCAATCCTCTCGCGGCCGCCCCTCCCGGCCAGGCTGCTGGAGCCGTCGCCCGAAACTTCTCGGAACCTTCCTGCAGGCGGCTTCACGAGGCTGCTCACCTCGCCCGACGGCAAGCCCGACCTCCTGGCGGCCGAGATGCCGACCGTGGTCACGCGCCAGCTGAAGCGCTCCGGCAGGCGCGACGACTGCGGCCACGGTCTGGTTAAATTCCCACCGCCTCTTCTTTTTGATGATCCGTGTTAATGCTTCGGCAGGTGCGATGACTGCGACCACGGTTTCCCTCTGCTGAATCGGCCTTGGGCGGTGCGGCGGCTGCTTGCCTTCCACCGCAAGGAGGTCAAGGAGGAGTACATCTTGCTACTCGAGGCGGACACGCCGCTCCTCCTCGCTCCTTGACAACGCATTACTTCACAGTTGAAAGAGTTGATTAAGAATGATAGGCGGACACACCGTGGACAACGGCGTGGATCAAGACCGGAGAGAGTCCGTCAGTAATGGTAGGCGGACATGCCGCTCCTCGCCCCCGTGGACAACGGCGCGGAGGGCGGCGCCGCGCCGCTCTCGCCCGTCGGCGTCGAGTCGCGCGCGCTCAAGGCGCGAGATTTGCCCCAGATTTACCCGCGATGGACCGAGGTTGCACGAGATCGACCCACGTCGCGCCGCGCGCGCGCAAAGGCGGGAGAGCACGCGAGATTGCGCGAGGTTGCCCGAGACCGGTCACAGAGCAAGCAACGCGTTGCAACCGCTGTCGCGCGCGCTCTCAAGGCGTCCAAGGAGCGGAACGAGACCAAGGCCGTCCTCCGCCGCTGGCACTCCCCGTTGAGGGATGTTGCGCCCGTCGGCCCGTCGGCCCTACTGGTGCATAAGCGGCAGCTCGAGGCGCCGGCGGGTCCACGGTGTGAGGCATTGCCAGTCAACAAAGGGTCATGACCTCTCTAGTGGTGATGGTAGGCGCTGGCGGGTCCGTGGCTGAACGTCTCCCTCTCCCTCCGGAGAGATGAGGCGGCGTCGAGCGCGCTCGGCACCGCTCGTCGAGCGGCGGGCGTGGCCATCTCGGTCTGTCTTGACCGCCTGCTAGCTTTCTTTTCTAGGCCCGCTCCTCGAGCGGTGGGCGTGGTCTCCCTTCTTTGTTAGCCGCGCGCACTCTTCTTTTTCTAGGCCCGCTCCTCGAGCGGTGGGCGTGGTCTCCCTTCTTTGTTAGCCGCGCGCACTCTTCTTTTTCTAGGCCCGCTCCTCGAGCGGTGGGCGTGGTCTCCCTTCTTTGTTAGCCGCGCGCACTTTTCTTCTTCTAGGCCCGCTCCTCGAGCGGTGGGCGTGGTCTCCCTTCTTTGTTAGCCGCGCGCACTTTTCTTTTTCTAGGCCCGCTCCTCGAGCGGTGGGCGTGGTCTCCCTTCTTTGTTAGCCGCGCGCACTTTTCTTCTTCTAGGCCCGCTCCTCGAGCGGTGGGCGTGGTCTCCCTTCTTTGTTAGCCGCGCGCACTTTTCTTCTTCTAGGCCCGCTCCTCGAGCGGTGGGCGTGGTCTCCCTTCTTTGTTAGCCGCGCGCACTCTTCTTCTTCTAGGCCCGCTCCTCGAGCGGTGGGCGTGGTCTCCCTTCTTTGTTAGCCGCGCGCACTTTTCTTTTTCTAGGCCCGCTCCTCGAGCGGTGGGCGTGGTCTCCCTTCTTTGTTAGCCGCGCGCACTTTTCTTCTTCTAGGCCCGCTCCTCGAGCGGTGGGCGTGGTCTCCCTTCTTTGTTAGCCGCGCGCACTTTTCTTTTTCTAGGCCCGCTCCTCGAGCGGTGGGCGTGGTCTCCCTTCTTTGTTAGCCGCGCGCACTTTTCTTCTTCTAGGCCCGCTCCTCGAGCGGTGGGCGTGGTCTCCCTTCTTTGTTAGCCGCGCGCACTTTTCTTCTTCTAGGCCCGCTCCTCGAGCGGTGGGCGTGGTCTCCCTTCTTTGTTAGCCGCGCGCACTCTTCTTCTTCTAGGCCCGCTCCTCGAGCGGTGGGCGTGGTCTCCCTTCTTTGTTAGCCGCGCGCACTTTTCTTCTTCTAGGCCCGCTCCTCGAGCGGTGGGCGTGGTCTCCCTTCTTTGTTAGCCGCGCGCACTTTTCTTCTTCTAGGCCCGCTCCTCGAGCGGTGGGCGTGG